ATTATTATTATTATTATTATTATTATTATTATTATTATTATTATTATTATTATTTATATATCCTTGGATTAGAACCAGGGTGATTTAATTGTAGCATTCTGGTAGAAAAATGTGATGAAAAATAAACTTTTTAAACACTTTCTCATTTTTAGGACACAAACATTGCTCCATTTACAGCAACATCAAATCAAGTATTCATCAAATTCCATGCAGATTTTGTAACTCATCCATCAGGATTTAGGCTGACCTGGACCAGCTGACATAATTCTCCCATGGAAACACTCAGCACTTTCTGTTCTGAAGAGACTTCCCAGAATACGAGTTTGTTCATGTTAATAAAAAAATGATTTGGGCACAATGAAGTTGATGCTCGTTAAGAATTATTTCAAAGAAATGCATATATTTTGTTTTTCCGTAGAAATGGCACCAAATGGAAGAGGAGTGTTTTGAAACAAGTTGTTCTCTACTAACGCTTTTCCATATATGCCTAAATAAGGCTGGGAAAAAATCAAATAATCTATAGCAGCCACTTTGACATTAACTAGACTGGTTAAATATAGAAAAAGCTTTTTTTTTCTAAAAGGTATGAACATATCAGTTCTCATCCACATAAATTATGCCAAAAGTTGAGCTTTCCCACAGTTTCTAAAGTAAGAATTGTTTATTACATTTATAATCATGATGTTTCAGACTAAAAACACAAACACAACTTTACATTTAAAATTTAGATTAGCTCAGGATCATCATAAGAGACCTTCTGAGTGGCAGCATGGAGTGACCTTGAAAAAGCTGGCAGATGTAGACCTGGATAGTATGTGGATGGGAGACCACTAAGAAATCTTAAGGACTCTTGGCTAGACTGGGAAGTTGAAAAAAAATCAGAAAACAGTAAGATAAATTCCTTATTGCCACCAAGAAAACATTAGTCCCTACACATTTGGATAGCATCAGTTGAGGAAGACTGGTTAAAACATTGATTAGCCCCAGGTTTACACAATTTGTAACTCTCCAGGCACATATGTACACCATCCCCCACAAATTCCTGATCACACTCCTATTTTGTTTTTCTAATACTACACTGGAAGCATATTCTTGTAAGATAGCATTAGGACTATATTTTGTTGATAGGATACAACTTGTCCAGGTCTGAAATTGCTCAAAGTACAAGCGCAATTGAGGAGAATCCATTTTTTTTTAAGTATTTAATGTGCTGCAAATCACATATTGTGTAACAATGATGGCACCTTTCTTGGCCTTTGAAGCAATACAATATTCAACTTTTCTTCTGTTCCCTTGGGTTGGATTTCTGTTTTGGTATCTGAGTTAGATAATTGTATTGGATGCTATCCAACCAATTACTGCAGATCCAACTAAAGACTTAGATGTTCACAGTGGGGATTTTTACTTTGTTTTTCTATAAACAGCCCACATCCATGCAATATCAAAACCATTTCTTAAATGTTTCCTGTGTTTCCTAAATATTTGTCCATATGAAGACATCAAATCAAATGTTCTCTGGACTCAGAAAACAAGTTACATTAGGGTTCTCTGAAACATGGTTAAAAATCATTAATGTTTTTGAGTAGTAACTGAACAATAAGGCAATTAATACATTTAGTAAACAGAATGAAGGAGGAACATAAAATTTCAAATCACAATTTTTATTTATTACATTGATTTATATAGTCTCCCATCTTGCAACTGCAACTGGGCAGTGTCCGTAGGATTAAAACCAACAAGAGAATAAAAGCAAAAAAACATAACAACACAATAATAACATAATGGTATCCTAGGAGAATCTAACCCAGTCCATACAATCACACTGACAGGCTCACCCAACCTCCAGACCCCATGCCCAAGGGAACATCCAGATTTTCAAGGACTTACAAAATTTCAGTAGAGTCAGAGCCAAACATCTCTCTAATCTTGGAGAGATGATGTTCCAAAGGGCAAGCACTGCGATAGAGAAGGCACCCATTCTGGGTACCACCAGATGGCACTGTTTAATAAAGGGGACCTGGAGCATGCCTACTCTGCTGGATCTGGTAGGAGAAACAATTGGAGAAAGGCCGTCATGCAGATACGCTGGTTTCCTGCCATGAAGGATTTAGGGGTGGTAACGAGCACCTTGAATTGCACCTGGAAGCCTACCAGGAACTAATGCAGCTCATGGAGCAATGGTGAGCCCGTACTGCCCATGCTGTCCCATTCTGGAACAACTGCAGCTTCTGAGAGATCTTCAAGGGCAGTGCCAGGTACTGCACATTGCAGTAATCCATGCAGGACATGATCAAAGCATGAGTGACTGTGAGTAGTGCCTCCTGATTCAGGAAAGGGTATAACCAGCACACAAGACAAATATGTGCAAGGTCCTCATGGCCACAGCTGCCACCTCTTCCTTGAATAGGAGCCACGAGTCCAGGATGCCTTTGCTATTGTCACTATACTGACCATCTACCTCCAGATCCTCCTATTTTGCTACTGTCCAGTAGAGGGGCCTGTTTGCTTTAGCTGGGCACCTGGGGTGACCTTTTCACCTTGGGTGACCCTGCTGGGAATTTACACTCTTAGGGTACAATCCTGCCATTCATCGCTCATCCCACCCAGATATGTTCTCTTGTCATAACATGGGTTATGTTTGGGGCAGAACACCCCCCCACCATTGACCTAGGCAATGCTCTTTACTGATTAAAATCACTTGGGGGGTTATGTTATCAATACCAAAAGCAATGTGAAATGCTAGTCCCAGTGCGACTCCTGCAGACCCCACAGCACCACCCAAGTTGCTTCTTTTGGTGTCCTATTTCTGTTGTGCTGAAGCTGGCAGTTGGCTTTACGCTTCTGAATTAGAAATGGCTTACATGATACCAGCAGGCCATGAACAGGTTATATTTTGTTTTTATTGTGCACTGGGTTTGTTGGAAGCTCACAAGTTTGACTATCCTGGAACAAGTGGACTGTACTTGAAGATGTTTGCAGGCAGTCCTGGTATCTTCCTGACTTAATTTTTGCAGCTTACAGAATTCTAATTTTCCTTTACTTCTGTAATACACATTTGGACACTAGAAGTGAGAATTGTGCCATTTAATTTTTGCACCAGATGCCATGCCAGTACAGTATACTTTTCTCAATTATGTTTGTCAGTGCTTGAAGATACAATAAATCAGTTTGTTTACCTGCATAGCTATTAGATGAGACGCTTAACTATTACTTTCGCATTCCAGTACTTAGAAAGCTGTTACACCTTTTATCCAACCTAAACATAAAGCCAGAAACTCAGATATGATTGATTCTTAACAATAGCAAAAATTTTGAAAATTCATTAACTAAATGAACTTGATTTGTTTGCAACAGCCCTTTGAGAAAAGTCCCTGCCCTGCAAGTTAAGTTATTATAGAGGAGTGTTTCTCAACCTTGGCAACTTGAAGATGGGTAGACTTCAACTCCTAGAATTCCCCAGCCAACATTCTGGCTGGGGAATTCTGGGAGTTGAAGTCCACCCATCTTCAAGTTGCCAAGGTAGAGAAACATTATAGAGGCAAAGTGAATGCCAGTAAGAAATTGTTTGTCTTCACATAAGCTGGCTTATTCAATGAAACACCAATGCTTAAATTGAATGGGATGTGAGTAATGGAGCGTGTAATCTACATTCTGCCCTGTGTAAATTGGTTGAAAGGAGAATCAACATTAGAATTACTTATGTAGATGTTCACTTATAAAAGGAAGTCCTGACTTACCAACCTTTTAGAATGTTTGAGTATCAACAAATATATGGAAGGGGGGGTGAGATCAGAAAGAAATCAGAAAGAGATCCAGAGTCATCTGGAGTCCAAAAACATGTTTTGAAAACAATGTTACTGAAGACTTTTAGGGAATTCAGTTGTCTTAAAATAAGAGAACAAGTTTAAAATAATAAAGCACAGGATTAAAAAATGGGTTCTTCTCAGAAAGTGTGATGGAATATAAATCTGACCCTGGGAATGGATAAGGGATGAACAAACAATTAAGGGAGGAGTTTCAGAAAAGATTACTCAGTCTTGGGAGAGAAGAAAGCATGAGAAAAAAACCCAACATAACCTCACATTGATTTTGTTTGGTGCAAGATGGAATAGAAATATACTCTGGCAGGTTTTCAAGATTCTGTTATTATACCTACAACAATAAAAGCATCCCTGAAATCTTGTTTCTTGAGCTTGCCTGCCTTGAAGGACTGACACAATGGAGAGCAGCAAAAAGCAGAGTTGCCCACAATTTAAGAACAGCACGATACCATTTTCTATGCTGAGCATCCCAGAACAAGAATTAGTAATTACATTTATATCCCACCTTCACCTTCTTTATTTTCCCTAATGTTATCCCCATGACAACACTGTGATGTAGGTTGGGATAAATGCAATTGGCTGCAAATCACCCAGTGAGTTTCACAATAGAGCAAGGAGGGCTTTGAAATGGGTTATTTCTGGTCCAACACTACACCATAATGTCTACCTCCCCCAACCAGCATGGAGAGCTACTGAATATAAATGTGACTCATTTCTGAGAAAACATAAATAGGATTGTATTGTTAATTGACTTGGAGTCATAACTGTGTGGTTCATATTTGTAGATGATACCAAACTGGATAAAATCCAAAGCAGACTGTAAAGCTGCAGGAAGATGTCTCTAAAATTCATATATTTTCAGCAAAAGGCTAAATGAGAGTCCCTGTAAATGCAAAGTTTATTCTTAATAAATAAATAAAATCCTATTTTTACATGGAAGTTCACTGTGAACCAGTCAGGGAAAAAAAGAAAAACTTGGTTCCATAATGACAGCAATGATAAAGTAAGGAACAACAATCAGATCTGCATACCCTGGGTCCTAAAATTTCAAAGGCCAACTGAGCCATAAAGAATGTGATGACTGAGTTGTATTCTATTACTTGCCTGTTAGTTTATCAGAAAATAAAAAAAAAATAAACGGATGTATTTTTCCTTATTCCTCATCTTAATTTTGGGATACCCGTTTACATCAGCAACAAGGATATACTAACGGTCTAACCTATTTTCCTAGCGTTCACAGACAACGGAGTACAATAAGCGTGTGTGTAAGAGAGAAACAGAAACCATTTTCAGTTTGGCTGCATTGCCACTTGCACATGTAAATTACCCCCAATGTCGAACTTTCCTGCACACTCCACATTTTTTCAGTTCGCCCCATTTTCCAGAATAAGTTTGCAAGCACTCCCAGCAGCAGACCCGAAACCCCTCCGGTCCTCAACCTATTGGGCCGCTTTTGAGACCTTCCCACCAATAGCAGCCGTCCAAAGGTAAAGAGAACTTTGGGATTGGATAGCCGCCGGCTGCACATTCCGAGCGGTGGGCGGGGCCTTTGCTCTCTCAGGCGATTCGCCTTACTTGGAGCGGAGCGCGCCCGATTCCCCTGAGCCCCCTCCTTCTCGGGCGCTGAGTATTGAAGCGCCTGCGCACTTCGGGGAAGGCAATGACGGGACCTGACGGCGGGAGGCGGCCCTTCGGCAGGGTGTGTGCACTGAAGTCGGGATCTCGGCTGCTTCCCCACGTCCGGCGCTTCCGATCCTGTGGTCGCTCTTCACGGTGAGTTGCTGTGCCCCACCTTAAACCGGGAGGGGGGGGGGGGGTGGAGAGTGCACCAGCAAGCCCCCCTCCCCCCCCCTCCCCCCCCC